ACTGCTATAAAATCTAGCTCCCTATAGCCCCTGCCCTAATGTTTGGAAATTTGTGCCTTATGCTATTGGACTTTATTATCTTTTGCTGGCTAAGGCTGATGGGAATGTGCAGTTACATCATAAAGTATCCAACAATGTTCTGCTTTATGTCCCCATTGCTGAGACAACATTGAACAAGATCATCCTGCAAGATAGTAAGCAGAATCTGTGGATTTCCCTATACATTTGCTTTTGATTCTCTTAGTAGAAATTCTACAATGAAATAAACATTGTTTCTTCTTCAAATTTGATAATTATGTACCTTCCTGTATGACAAAAAGTGGAGGCAACAAGGATTATGGAAAAGCAGGTAAAACTCCTACTTGTAGCTACTCTATAAGGTCCTGGATAAGGTGGATTCCTACAGATTCTTGAATGTACCAATATGTGTCTGTGCAATAGGGAACATAGCACAGATATATATTGGTACATTCAAGAATCTGTAGGAATTCATCTTATCCAGGACCTTGTAGAGTAGCTACAAGTCAAACTAGCTCAGTGTTTCTCAACTTGGGGTTGGAACCCCTGGGGGGTCGCAAGAGGATGTCAGAGGGATCTCCAAAGACCATCAGAAAACACAGTATTTTCTGTTGGTCGTGGGGGGGGGGGGGGTTCTGTGTGGGAAGTTTGGCCCAATTCTAACGTTGGTGGGGTTGAGAATGCTCTTTGATTGCAGGTGAACTATAAATCCCAGCAACTACAATTCCCAAATGTCAAAGTCTGTTTTCCCCAAACTCCATCAGTGTTCAATTTGGGCATATTCAGGATTCACCCCAAGTTTGGTCCATAACCATCATTGTTTGAGTCCACAGTGCTCTCTGGAGGTAGGGGAACTACAACTCCAAAACTCAAGTTCAATGCCCACTAAACACTTCCTGGTCATGGGAGTTCTGTGTGCCAAGATCGATTCAATTCCATAGTTGGTGGAGTTCAGAATGCACTTTGATTGTAGGTTAACTATAAATCCCAGCAGCTACAACTCCCAAATGACAAAATCAACCCACCCACCTTCTCCCCCTCACAACCCCACCAGTTTTCAAATTTAAGCGTATCAGGTATTTATGCCAAACTTGATCCAGTGAATGAAAATACATATAAGATATTTACATTATGATTCATAACAGTAGCAAAATTACAGTTATAAAGTAGCAACAATTTTTTTTTATGGCTGGGGGTCGCCACAACATGAGGAACTGTATTAAGGGTTGTAACATTAGGAAGGTTGAGAAACACTGTCTTAGTAGAAATTCTACATGCAAATAAACAGAATTGATTCTTCTTCAAAGTTGACCATCAAGTACCTTCCTGTATGACAAAAAAGTGGAGGAAACAGGGATTATGGAAAAGCAAGTAAAACTCCTACTAAAAAAATAGGGAACATAGCACAAAGATACATAGTGGTACATTCAAGAATCTGTAGGAATCCACCTTACTTTACCATCTTGTAAAGTAGCTACAAGTCAAACCAGATAATCGCCTCCAACTACTGTAAGAAACCATTTCTCTCCTGAGCATGATCCTAACACTGCAGAAATGTGAAATGTTTACACAATCACAAAAGGAAAAATTAGGTGGGTTAAAATTAGGAAGAATGTTTCAAGCTTTCTTATGCTACAAGGGAAGATGACATTCTTGATTTAGTAGTCCCTTCTATCATCTTTCCTTGGACTCCTGAAAAGAAGATTCACAATGACCTGTGCTAGATTTTTTCCTAAATATTCCTCTCTCAGCTTGAAAAGACCAAATATATTATTATCATTCTTTTGCATTCCTTTAAAAGGATTTTAAACCAATGCCAGATTTTTATGCTAGGAGAAAACCACAGAAGACAGCTGTATTGGCTAACAAAAATATCTTCCTCTCCTTCAAACCACTGCGTTTTTCCAATGGAGGAAGAGGGAGAGCATGCTTTGGAGTCATAAGCAGATTACATTGACACCTAAACGGATACCTCGGTTTCCTTTCTTTGCTATTTTAATCCAATAAGACCTTATGGAATCTTTTTAATGGCTAGCAGAAGTATCCCCAACACACAAGGGAAAGGAGGAGATTGTAAGACCCATTCCAGTATTCATACATATGTATTTCTTGCCCTGATCACATTACTCGATACATTGTAAGGTTACCATGCCTTTTATTTCCCTGAGGCTTCTCCTTGCAGTTTGGTTTCAGTCAAGTGATCCATAAAACAAGAAGACAAGTGTGTGACAGGCTGTCATTACATTCATGCTTTCTCAGAAGAAATCCATTTAGTTTCATGGAAACTTTCTCTTTTATGCAAGGACAGTTAAGGCCTTTTTTTGCAAGAAAGATTACAATTGCTTTTATTTATCAGTAAAAATCCCACAGAACTGGAACCTTGTTTTCATTTTTCAAAAACAAAAAACCACATACTTAACATATGAGTCAGGAGGTACATCTACACGGAAGAATTAATGCAGACCACTTTGACTGGAATGGGACAATGCTATAGGATTTATAATTTCGTAAGGCACCAGAACTCTTGGGCAGAGAAAGCTAAAGATCTTGTAAAACCACAATTCCCAGGATTCCATAACATTGCAGCAAGGCAGTTTAAGTGATGTCAAACTACATTAATTCTATAGTGCAGAACCACCCAGGACCTCAAATATCAGAAGTGATGCTTGTCTCTCTGAAAGCAACTGTGCAAGAAGAACCTGCCAAAATCATGTGTTAGAACTACCAGCATAATTTCCCTAGATATAAATCAATGGCCATTTGAATAGCTGGTGACGTTCATAACCCTTCATAACCAAAAGATTGTCTCAAAACCACACATGGTTCATTAGCCTTTGGCTCTGGAGCAGCCCTGGATGGGAGTAACTTGTGGTTGGTGGCTGCAAGGCATATCTGCACTGACCATCGAAAGCCGTTTTAAACCGGTATTGGTATTGCTGTGTAGATGTTTACATAGCAAATTGTTGAACCAGTTTGAGGACACAAATCACAGAACACTAATGTGGACCAAAAAGCTTTCTTTCATGACCTTTGGTGGGAGCTTGCAGCTTGAAGGTAGCTTGGACCTTTATTCACTGATCAGTGTAGATACGGCCCAAGTCTCAGCTTCCATGTCTCCTAAATTTGCAGGCCAATGGTGGAATTATAAAAATAACCAAGGTCTGCTTTACGACAGACACTGAGAAGGGGAGGAGCTATTATGAGTCCTTCATGTGATTCCAAAGAGGTATGGAAACCTCTTTCCTCCTCCCCAGCCTTTTATACTTCATGAACCTCCTCCTCCTGTCATGGTGGAATGTTATGGGGGACTTTCAGGTAAATCTGTCAGATGAACCTATCAGGGGGCCCATCATGTGAATCTGAGGAGGCATGGAAACCAGGTGAACTATAAGGGTTCTGAGAAGACATGGAAACCTGCTCCTTTCCCCTCCCCAGCCTCTCCTTTGTCTTTCTGCTCTTTGCTGGCCTCCTCCTCCTCCTGTCACTTGGGTGGTGGGTTGTTCAGGGGGACCTTCAGGTAAACCAATCAGGTTAATGTATCATGAGGCCCTTCAGATGAAGGTGAAGAGGCATGAAAATACCCTTTATTTTTTTCTCCCTAGCCTCTACTTTGCCTTCCCACCCTTTGTGCACCCTGTGGGATGCTCAAGAAAACTTAATCAGATGAGTGTGTCAAGGGGCCCTTAAGGTGAAACTGGGGAGACAAGGAAACCCCCTTCTTTCCTTCTTCCATCTCTCCTTTGCCTTCTGGGCTTTCAGATGAAACTGAGGAGGCATGCTTCCTTATGCCCTTTGCATGCTTCCTCCTCTCAGTGGTGGGATGCTTAGGTAAACTTAATCAGATGAATGTGTAAAGGGGCCCTTCAGGTGAAGCTGGTAAAACATGGAAACTACTCTTCTTCCTTCTCCCATCTCTCTTGTTTTCTGGACTTTCAGATGAAACTGAGGAGATATGGAAACTCTTTTCCCGTGGCTCTTCTCACTGGTGGGATGCTCGGGTAAACTTAATCAGATGAGTGTGTCAAGGGGCCCTTCAGGTGAAGCTGAGGAGACAGGGAAAGTGCCTTCTGGACTTTGAGATGAAGCTGAGGAGACATAGAAACCCTTTCTTCTCCCCTTTGCACACCCCCTCCTCTCAGTGATAGGATGCTTAGGTAAACCTAATCAGGTGAGTATATCAAGGAGCCTTTAGGTGAAGCTGAGGAGACAGGGAAACCCCCTTCTTTAGCCCATCTCTCCTTTGCCTTCTTGTCTTTCAGATGAAACTGAGGAGACATGGAAACCCTTCCTTCTCCCCTTTGCATGCCTCCTTCTTTCAGTGGTGGGATGATCAGGGAAACCTAATCAGGTGAATGTATCAAGGGGCCCTTCGGGTGAAGCTGAGGAAACAGGGCAACCCTTCCTTCTCAACTTTGTGTGCTTCCTCCTCTCAGTGGTGGGATTCTCAGGTAAATCTAATCAGGTGAATGTGTCAAGGGGCCCTTCAGGTGAAGCTGAGGAGACTAGGAAACCCTTCCTTCTCCCCTTTCTCCCCTTTTAGGTTTACCTAAGCACTTTTCAGTAGTGGAATGCTTAGGTAAACCTAATCAAAGTAGTGTATCAAGGGGCCCTTCAGATGAAGCTGGGGAGATGGAGAAACCCTTCCTTCTCCCCTTTACGTGTATCCTCATCTCAGTGGTGGGATGCTCAGGGAAACCTAATCAGGTGAATGTGTCAAGGAGGCCTTGAGGTGAAGCTGAGGAGATAGGGAAACAACTGTCTTTCTTTCTCCCATCTCTCCTTTGCCTTCTGGGCTTTCAGATGAAGCTGAGGAGACATGGAAACCTTGCCTTCCCCCCTTTGGTTGTCCTCTCCTCTCAGTGGTGGGATGCTTAGGTGAACCTAATCAGGTGAGTGTATCAAGGGGCCCTTGAGGTGAAGCTGAGGAGCCCCGCAAGCCCGCCCCTTCCCAGGCATCCCTTGGCCTTCCCGCGCTGTCTCACCTCGGTGGCCGGGATGTTCACCACACCTGTGGAGCGCCTCTTCTCCCGCAGCTTCCTCTTCTCGATCTGCCCTTTCCCTTTGCGGGCGCTGGGGCCGGAGGCGCCCTTGCCCTTGGCGGAGGCGGCTTTCTCCTTCTCCTGCTCCTCCTTCTCTTCGGGGCCCCCGCTTTTGCCCGCGGGGGGCTCCGGGGGCGCGCCTCCTCCTCCTCCTCCGCTGTTATTGTTCAGCTCGGCAACCGTGGTGGCGGCGGCGGCGGCGGGGGCTCCCGGGGCTTTGGGCTCGGGCGGCGGGGGCGCCTGCTTGGCGCGCATCTTCTCCCGCTTGGCTTTCCACTCCTCCAAGAAGTCCGTGGTGGTGGAGGTGGGGTTCGGGGTGGAAGAGGCGGCCCGGTAGCCCCCGGTGGCCATCTTCCCCGCCAGCCGTGGCTCTCCAAGGACACAGAAAGAGGGAGAGAGAGAGAGAGAGGCGCCGAAGGGAAGGGAAGGAGAAGGGAGGCTGCGGGGACAAAAGGCGGCCAGTGAGGCGGGCGCTCCGTCTCCAAGGCGCCCTCCTTGCCTTTCCTTCATGCTCCCAAGCCCACCCCCACTTTCCCCTCTCCGCACTCAGCTCCCGCTTCCAACCCGCTTCTAAAACTCCAGCCAGGAATTGCGCCCAGGTCCGCTTCTTCCACCCCCCGCCGTCCCTTCCCACGCAGGGTGCATCTACACTGGAGAAGCAACGCAGTTTGACACAATCGTGGGATCGCCTTCCGCTCTCTCCGCCAAAGTGCGTTGGTGCCTCACCAGGCTACACAAACCCTCGGGTTTCCTAGCTTTATCGTGTCCAAACTGCATTAACGCTACAGTGTAGATGCGCCCTCGGATTGGGGTTTGCAGTAAACAGCTCCCAGTTGGCCCCCTCGCCTTGCAAAAGGAGGCAAACAGAGAGGAAGAAGCCAACAAGCAACTCCGTCCTTGGCTTCTTCTTTGGCGCACAATCGCCTTTCCGAGAGTGGCGCATCCAATCCCGCTTCTGCGCGGAGTTTGAGGACTCGTGCGAAAGTAAAAGGAGGTCCCCACTCCGGAGAGGTGCCCTTACCTGAAGCCGAAAGCGAAGGCTGTGCGTCCCGCTTCTCCTCTTCCTTTCGCCAGGTGAGGCGAGACGCGCGGAATTCCCGGAAGACTCCGCGGCGAGGCTCCCGGAGCTCTCTTCCCCAGCTGCCTTCTCCCGAGGGGCGGGCGGGGGGGGGGGGAGGGAGGGTGGGAGGGGAGGCCCGGCGGAAGGAGCCGAGGCGCGGCGGAAAGTGCCGAGTGACCCTGACAATGGGCCAGGGGCGGGGAGGATCCTCCCAGGGAAACCCGACACCGGCAGCGCTCCTCGCGGCCGCCCAGGTGATAGGGAGGCAGGCGCGCCTACCTGGCCTCCTTCGCCTCCCTTCTTCCCCGCGGGAGGAACTCAGAGCCACGCAGTAGGCCAGGAAGCCTTGCCAGGTTTGTAGTGCAGGGGTCTGAGCGTCGGACTACGACTCTGGAGACAAGGGTGCGAATCCCTGCTCAGCCATTGGACTAAACATATTGGGTGCTGAGTTGTTGTAGGTTTTCCCGGGCTATATGGCCATGTTCTAGAGAGGCATTTTCTCCTGACGTTTCGCCTGCATCTATGGCAAGCATCCTCAGAGGTAGTGAGGTCCTACCTCTGAGGATGCTTGCCATAGATGCAGGCGAAACGTCAGGAGAAAATGCCTCTCTAGAACATGACCATATAGCCCGGGAAAACCTACAACAACCCAGTGATTCCGGCCATGAAACCCTTCGACAATACAAAGTGGGTGCTCTTGGGGAAGGAAAAAGAAGAACGCCAATAATGCTTCTTTTTGAGCAAGACAATCTATATAAATAAAAAATGCATCCCAATCCCGGCATATTCCCAATTTCCTATCCCTGGACTGCAACTCCCACAATCCTCCTGGTAGATAAGATAGCTAGGTAGATAGATTGATCAGGAGGAGTGCTGGGAGTTGCAGTCCAGGAATAAGTAGAGAAGAAAGAGGAAGCGAAAGAAAAGGTGGGAGAGGAAGGGAAGAGGAAGACAAGGAAGGAAGGCGAGAATGAAAGAAAAAAGGGAAGGAGAAAGAAAGGAGGAGAGAAAGAGGGAGGAAAGGTACAGCTCCTGGCAGGTACAGCTAGTTAATAGTAATGAGGTATTATTATATTCCATGTCTCTTTTCCTCCCTTATCAGAGACAAAGTGGCGCAATGGGTTAAACCCTTGTGCCAGCAGGACTGAAGACAGACAGGTAGCAGGTTTGAATCCGGGGAGAGCGTGGATGAGCTCCCTCTGTCAGCTCCAGCTCCCCATGCAGGGACATGAGAGAAGCCTCCCACAAGGATGGTAAAACATCAAAACATCCAGGCGTCCCCTGGGCAACGTACTTGCAGATGGCCAGTTCTCTCACCCCAGAAGTGACTTGCAGTTTCTCAAGTCGCTCCTGACATGAAAACAAAAAAAAAAGACACTCAAAGTGATAAAGGTTTCCCCTGACATTAAGTCTAGTCATGTCCGGTTCTGGGGGGTTGTCCGTAGACACCTCCAAAGTCATGTGGCCAGCATGACTGCATGGAGCACCACTACCTTCCCGCAGAAGCTGTATCTATTGATCTACTCACATTTACATGTTTTCAAACTGCTAGATTGGCAGAAGCTAGGCCTAACAGCAAGAGCTCACCCCGCTCCCCAGATTCAAACTGCCAACTTTTCGGTCAGCAAGTGAAACCTAAAGAATATAAACATACAGGGAGCATAGGTCAGCTCCACTGGCCACCAGTCTGCTACCAAGCACAATTCAAAGTGCTGGCTTTGGCCTATAAAGCCCTAAACACTTTTTCTCTCTTAATCAAGATTCAAAAGCAGTGAACAGTGCTAAACACAATACAATATAAAAGCTAAAGACTGTAAGCTAAAATAGAATTAAACCAAACATTATTTAAACATAGTTACAGCCACTGCAACCATTAAAACCCTATTTAAAATACACTTTTCCTCGCTAAATACAATATAAAATCTAAAGACTATACACTAAAATAGAACTAAACTTACAACCTATTGAAAATTCATTATTATTATTATTATTATATGTCCAGAGCCCCCAGTGGCACAATGTGTTAAACCCTCGAGCTGGCTGAACTGTTGACCCAAAGGTTAGCAGTTCAAACCCGGGGAGCAGGGTGAGCTCCCATCTGTCAGCTCCAGCTTCCCATGCAGGGACATGAGAGAAGCCTCCCACAGGATGGTAAAACATCTGGGTGTCCCCTGTGCAACATCCTTGCAGATGGCCAATTCTCTCACACCAGAGTGACTTGCAGTTTCTTGAGTCAATCCTGACACAAAAAAATGTATATGCCACATTTTCTCTCTTAATTGAGACTCAAAAGCAGCAAACAGTTCTAAACACAATACAATATAAAACCTAAAGAACATAAACACTAAAATAGAATTAAACCTACCACTATTTAAATTGTCAAAACTATTAAAACCATTGGGTTACTGTGAGTTTTCCGGGCTGTATGGCCATGTTCCAGAAGCATTCTCTCCTGAACATGGCCACACAGCCTGGAAAACTCACAGCAACCCAGTGATTCCAACCTTGAAAGCCTTCAACAAAGTATTAAAACCATTAAAAATACATAAAGCACCACACAACACCCCCTGACTTGGTTCTTTAATACATTCTTTTTTAAAAGCCTGTATGAAGAGAAAGGTTTTAGCCTGCCACAGGGGAAAAAAATCCCTTTTAGGTTATAACATTATCTTTCCCTGATCAAAACTATCCAATATTTATAGTCCCTGGGTCAGCCTTCTCTGGAGCAGAAAAAATTATTATCAATATATAAAATAGTCATTTTTATCCTGCTTCTGTTTTTGTCATCATTTCTGACCCAAGATTAGCCTAAGATGAACTTATCACAGGCTTTTGTTGACAAAACTTGCTCAGACAGTGTTTGCAGTTACATTTCTGAGAAAGATATCAGCAGTCTTGGATAATAAAAAAGCTTGAATTTTGAAACCTTTGTGGAGGACCCTCCCCCTTCCACAAAGTGTAACGATATGGTATCTTTAATGACTGTGCCACTTACTTAATTTATAGTAGTGGTTCTCAACCTTCCTAATACCACAGCCCCATTATTCCCCTTCTTCATGTTGTAGTGACCCCAAACCATAACATTATTTTTGTTGCTACTTCATACCTGTAATTTTCCTATGGTTATGAATCAACCTCTTTGACGCCCCCTCGAGCCCCCCCCCCCCCCAAGTGGTTCCGACCCCCAGGTTGAGAAACGCTGCCTTACATAGAAAAGAAAGGAATAAGTTTAATTCAGTTCCCACCCTTTGAAATCTATACTTGACCTTCTAAATTTTATTCCATTCTGCTCCTTGAAAGACTACAGTGAAGGACTACAGACTACTTTCCTATGTAAAAACAAAATAATAATGGGGAAATGTGACTTAAAGCTTGTACTTAATGGTTGTATTTAAAATAGAACGCAATGGGTTAAATCCAGCTATCTGGGGCTGCAGATGAAGAGAAGGACCTGCAGATATTAACTAAATAAATGATGAGGAAACACAACATACAAACTATCTACAGACCCACCAAGAAAATTCAACAAATGCTACGTTCAGCAAAGGACAAGAGGGATCCTCTCACTTCTGCAGGAGTCTTCTGCAGGAGTCCACCATGCAGCTGTGGACAAGTCTACATAGGGACCACCAAACACAGCGCCCAAACACGAATCAAGGAACATGAAAAGCACTGCAGACTACTTCAGCCAGAGAAGTCAGCCATAGCAAAACACCTGACACAGCATATTATTTGAGAACGCAGAAATGCTGGACCACTCTAACAACCACCATGTCAGACTACACAGAGAAGCCATTGAAATCCATAAGCATGTGGACAATTTAAACAGAAAGGAGAAAACCATGAACATGAACAAAATCTGGCTACCAGTATTAAAAAAAACTCTAAAATTACAACAGCAAAACAGCAGAGAGGAAACAATCAGGGACATCTAATCACCTCTCAACAAAAGATTGTACCAGGCACTAACAAGCCACACCAAACAATTGCTAGGCCATCAAATGCTAATCAAGGTGGTCAGTTGAAACATTCACACCTAGCTCCAACAGTTCTTTGTCTCACCTTGGTCATTCCACAGATATATAAACCCATTTTCCTAGTTCCAACAGACCTCGCTACCTCTGAGGATGCTTGCCATAGATGCAGGCGAAATGTCAGGAGAGAATGCCTCTAGAACAGTGATTCTCAACCTGGGGGTCGGGACCCCCAGGGGGGTCGCAAGGGGGTGTCAGAGGGGTCACCAAAGACCATCAAAAACAGTATTTTCTGTTGGTCATGGGAGTTCTGTGTGAGAACTTTGGACTAATTCTACCGTTGGTGGGGTCCAGAATGCACTTTGCTTGTAGGAGAACTATAAATCTCAACAACTACAACTCCCAAACGTCAAGGTCTATTTTCCCCAAACTCCACTAGTGTTTACATTTGGGCATATTGAATATTCATGCCAAGTTAGGTCCAGATCCATCATTGTTTGAGTTTCTGGAGGTAGGTGAACTACAACTCCCAAACTCAAGGTCAGTGCCCACCAAATCCTTCCAGTATTTTCCGTTGGTCATGGGAGTTCCGTGTGCCAAGTTTGGTTCAGTTTCATCATTGGCGGAGTTCAGAATGCTATTTGATTGTAGGTTAACTATAAATCCCTGGAACTACAACTCCCAAATGACAAAATCAACCCCTCCAACCCTGCCAGTAGTCAAGTTTGGTTGTATTGGGTATTTGTGCCAAGTTTAGACCAGTGAATGAAAATACACCCTGCAGATCAGATATTTACATTATGATTCATAACAGTAGCAAAATTACAATTATGAAGTAGCAATGAAAATAATTTGATGGTTGGGGGTCACCACACATGAGGAGTCCACACATTAAGGGGTCGCGGCATGAGGAAGGTTGAGAACCACTGCTCTAGAACATGGCCATATAGCACGAAAAACCCTAAAACAACCCATGAAAGTCTTTGACAAAACTAAATAAATATTAACAGGTCCTTCTCCTGCTCTGCAGCCCTCAATATAGCCCGAAAGCTATCTCTGAAAAGAATCCTAACTTCCCAAAGATAGTGTTAGAAATGTATGGAGAAGTGGCTGCATTCAGAGATGGTTAAAT